GTCAAGAGGACTAGAGTTGTAGCTCAGTGGTAGAACACTTGCCTAACATGTGCAAGGTTCTAGGTTCAATCTCCAGCACTGCCCATGCCCCCGCAAAAGAGATAAAAGATAAATACTATGCTCAGTTGTTTATATTATACTATACTCAGTTATTTTTATTATATATTTGAATTTCATCAATAAAAAGTCTGTGGGAATTTGTTTTCTATTACTATCTAAGTAGCCATACCATTTGGCTCACCTAAAACATTTCCAATCCGGCCCTTTTTGAAATAAAGTTTGCCCTGGCCTAGACTTCAGTGAGATGTAGGAAATAATATTGAAGAGCAAAAGTACTATATGAAGATGGAATAGCCTCAAGCTACAATTACTTCTCAAAAATAACACAGCCTGGATATGATGGAAATTTCAATCAAATTAACCAGGTCATAAACTGTTCTTGATAGCTTCTTTAGTTTTTATAATTAAGTGGGGAGGGAAAGAAAATTTGTTTGTATGAGTTGTAATCAGGAAGGAAAACAAATGGAAAATAAAAGGAAAAAGAAGCTAATGGGAAGATGCTCATGTAGTTTTTGATTTGATGATAAAAATTATATCAAAATAATGACATTGAACACCAACATATTCAAGCACTGAATAAACACTGTATGCATCATCTTGTGCAATACTGATAAGAATCTGGAAAGACTGAGGTGAAGGGTATCTCCTGATACTAACTCCAGTCTGACAGCAATAAAAAAATAGTACTTTGTCCAGAAAAAAAAAGAAAAAAGCATGAGATTAGAAGGATAAGGTTCTTGAATACCTTGCTGGGAAAGAGCTTTCATTCTCTTTCTTTTTGCTAGGTTCTTCTTCTTCTTTTTTTTTTTTAATTATTTTATTTTTAGTTGTAGATGAACATAATGCATTTATTTAATTTTTTTTTTTTTTTTTTATGTGATGCTGAGGATCCAACCAAGTGCTTCATGTGTGCTGGCCAAACACTCTATCATTGAGCCACAACCCCATCCCACTGGGTTATTCTTTATAATGGCAGTGGTTATTATTTGCTGGGTTACTCTTTATAAGAGGGTGGGGTGTGGCTGAAGGATTCTCAGAAGGGGTATAAAGTGGTCAGCTTTGTTTGGGGAGGTACCAAGGATAGTTTTGGGAGATAACTTTTGAAGTCAAGAGGCCAGAGAAAAGTTTTTCTTTTCAACAGTCCAAGGAGGAGTGAGTGAGGACAGCTCTAGTTGACAACAGGTAACAGAGTGGACCTGTGGGCTGGGGACTAGGAGTCAAAGACCACTTTGAAGTTTCTGGTGGCAACATGAGAGAACCCAAATTAAAAAACGGTTTGTGAGAGGAGAATAATAAATCTAGAAGTGGAGATGTCCTGTAGTTGGGACTGTGGGGTGTTGGTTCTAGGATCCCCCAACACCTAGGTCCCGGTGTCTCCGGATGTTCAAGTTCCTCATTTATAATGCTGAAGTGTTTGCATATAACATACACACATCTTCTCAAATTCTTTAATCTCTAGATTACTTATAAAAGCTACTACAATATAAATGCTGTATAAATAATTGTTAAACAATTATGACACAGAAAAAAAGTCTGTACATTTTTGGTATAGATGGGGTTTTTCTTCCTGTTTTTTTTTTTTTCCACATTGAGTATCAAACTCAAGGCTCATGCATTCTAGGCAAAGTACTCTACCACTGAGCTACATAAGCAACTTAAATTTAAAAAAATATATTTGATTATTTATTTGTTGGTATTAGAGATTGAACTGGGGGACATTTTACCACGAAGATACATCCCCAGACCTTTGTATTTTTTATTTTGAGACAGGATCTCACTAAATTATACAGGCTGGACTTGAACTTGAAATCCTCCCAGCTGGGAATATAGGTGTGCACCACTGTGCCTGACTTCCAAATGTGACCCACAGTTGTTTGAATCCATAGATGAAGAACCCATGGATATGGCCAACTGTATTTATAATTCCTGAAGAACATCCAGGGCAGGTTGTCTAGGGGATATTAGAAATGTGTCTAGAAGTTCAAAGAAATTTGGCCTGGTGAGAAAGGCCTAGGAAGCATGAGGAATTGAGTGAACTTTGGAAGGATTTGGAGAAGGAGCAGGCAGATGGGGAGAAAGGAGATATTAGAGAAACTAGCATTTTTTTTTCTTTCTTTCTTTTTTTTTTTTTGGTACCAGGGATTGAACCCTGGGCTCTTAACCCCTGAGCCACATTCCAGTCCTTTTTTTTTTTTTAGTGGTGCATGCAAGGCAAACACTCTATCAACTGAGCTATATCCCCAGCCCATTCCAGCCTTTTAAAAATAATTTTATTTAGAGACAGGGATTTTTTTTTTTTTTAAAGAAAGAGAGAAAGAGAATTTTTTAATATCTATTTTTGGTTCTTGGTGGACACAACATTTTTGTTTGTATGTGGTGCAGAGAATCGAACCCAGGCTGCATGCAAGCCAGGAAAGCACGCTACCACTTGAGCCACATCCCCAGCCCTCAAGACAGGCATTTTGCTTAGGACCTCACTAATTTGCTGAGGCTGGCTTTGAACTCACGGTTCTCCTGCCTCAGTCTCCCAAACTGCTGAGATTACAGGTATGTATCACTGTGCCTAGCTGGAAAAGTAACATTTATGGAAGTGAACCTGAGAAACTCTTAACATCCTGAGGGGAAGGAAAGGGGAAGTGCCGACAGTAAGCAAGATTGGGGCATTATAAGAAGTTCCAGGAGATAGAAGTCAATGGAATGTTACAGAGCCATTTACGAAAGGGCTGATGGGGTTTGGTGATTAGAAGGTCACAGATGACATCTGACAGTTATTCAGAAGTAATGAATAAGGGTGGGGGAAGGAGGAGAGTTAGGAAGTCTGGGAAGATGGGGATAATGGAAGTTTTTTTTTTTTTTTTTTTTTTTCCTCTCTTGGTACTGGGGATTGAACCCATGGGCACTCAACCACTGAGCCACATCCCCAGCCCTTTTTTCGTATTTTATTTATAAAGAGGGTCTCACTGAGTTGCTTAGGGCCTTGCTAAATTGCTGAGGCTTAGAACTTGCCATCTTCCTGCTTCAGTTTCCAGAGCTGCTGGGATCACAGGCCGGTGACATGGAGCCAGGCTGGAAGGGTTTTTTGAATACAGAAAAACCATAATGCCTAAGAGGATAGAGGGAGACAAGGAAATGAAACAATTAATGAAATAAAAAACGGGGAAGGGGTAGATTTTTAGAAGCTCCGGGGGTCAGTATTAATCAGCAATTTACTGAGGCCCTCAACAACTTGGCAAGACACTGTCTCAAAACAAAAAAATAAAAAGGGCTGGAGATGTGGCTTAGTAGTTAAGTGCTACTGGGTTCAATTCCTGGTACAAAATAAATACATAAATAAGGAGGGAGGGGGATGGTGGGAGAGAGAGACAGACATAGACACTGACTGGCTGGAAAATGATCTCACTGGTGTAGAGAGATAGTTGTTGGCCAGTCTCAGTCCATGAGTTTTTCTCTGGGTGCTGGTCACAGAATCTAGGTCTCCTTTTCTTCACCTTTAATGAGGATTAAACATTTTGCCAATATATAAGCTAATGCTTATATTTTCTAAAATACAAAATTATTAGATAAATACATGGAATGATACATTATTGATTCTTCTTTCTCTCTCCTTCTCTCTCTCTTTTAGGTACTGGCATTGAACCTAGAGATACTTCTCCACTAAGCTACATTTCCAGCTCTTTTTTATTTTAATTTTGAGACAAGGTCTTGCTAAATTGGGTGTGGTTGGGATTACAGGCATGCACCACCATGCTCAGCTCACATTGATTTTCAAAGATACAGCTTACCTTTTTTCTATTTTATGAGATTCTCATAATTGCTGATTAACACACACATCTGCCCTCATCCTATTGATATGTATACGAGTTCCCCAAACTGCAGGAAAAGCAGATATTTCCTGTGATAAAATCTATTTCTTGATGGGTTTACAGGCACATGCCTGTAATCTCAGAGGCTCCAGGGGCTGAGGCAGAAAGATCGCAAATTCAAAGCCAGCCTCAGAAATTTTAGCGAGGCCCTAAGCAATTTAGCAAAACCCTGTCTCAAAATAAAAAAAAAAAATAAATAAATAAAAGGGTTTGGGATGTGGCTCAGTGGTTAAGCGTTCCTGGGTTCAATTTATGCTAAAAAAAAAAAAATCTGCTTCTTGCCATGTAAGGTCAGATGTGGTCCACAATTTTTTTTTTTTTCTCCCTTAGGATTATAGGCGATCGCCACCGCTCGCGACGGTCCATAGTTCTTTATGGCTCTCAAGAGTTGCTTTGCTTTAGGAACTACTGAATTATCGTTCGGTTAGTAAAGCAACCATGACAAGTGGTCACAAGATGGAAGGCTTAAGAAAGCGCTAATTGCTAGACTTTTTTTTTTTTTTAACGTGTACTCAGATGGCTTCAGCAAAGGCTCACACCTGCTGTCCCAAGACCAGAAGCATTAGCATCACCCATCGGAAATGCAAATTTTGGAGCTCCCTCCAACACCTCCAGCTTCAGCACCACTGGGGGTGGGGCCCAGCCAGTGCATTTTAATGGAGCCCTCAAAGAGAGACTGCTGTGCCTAAAAACTAAGCGCCCAGGTTTACGCATGGCTTTTCCCCTAAGTGGCCCAAGTACCTAACCTATGGGCATTACCTGGGTCACTTTAGACATGCAAAATCCCGGGCTGCACTCCCTCAAACCCGTTATATCAGAAGTCACCCCTAACACGATTCCCAGGGAATTCAAGTCTGAGAAGCCTTGGTGTAGGTTACGGTGTCCGCATATTGTAATGTCGTATAATAATGTAACCTCTTCTTCGAGTTAAGAAACCTGACGGCCTGACTGGAGAAGCGGTGAAAATTGTTTTAAAACACCCAACCCCTTTGAGTCTAGTGCACCGCAAGCTGCTAATCACCCTGCGGCGATGGCAGGGCTCACAGTCCCGCAGTAGATTAAAAAGGGGGCATCTGGAGGGCGAGAACTCTGCATTCCAGGTGGGTCCCCAGGAGCAGGTGTGACGAGAAGGGTCGAGAAGGGGGGCGTGCTTTCAGTACCCGGGAGGGGAATAAAAGGAACAGGAAGGGGGCGGCTGGTACGAGGCCCGGGATGCTGGGGGCAGTACTCCCAAGGGCGAGGGGGCAGCCCCTCCC